ACATTCCATGCATTTATACGGTCTCCCCCGAGTATGGATCCTTTGATGAACACTAAAATGTCCTTTCTCAATAAAGGTCTTTCCACATTCCATGCATTTATATGGTCCCTCCCCAGTGTGGATCCTTTTGTGATGATTAAGTGTTGCTTTCTGGATAAAAGTCTTTCCACATTCCATGCATTTATACGGTCTCTCCCCATTGTGGATCCTTTCGTGCTCATTACGTTTTTTTTTCTGGGTAAAGGACTTTCCACATTCCATGCATTTATAGGGTCGCTCCCCAGTGTGGATCCTTTGGTGGCAAATAAGATTACTCTTGCTAATGAAACTCTTTGCACATTGGGTGCATTTAAACGGTCTCTCCCCAGTGTGGATCCTTTTGTGACCATTAAGACTTTCTTTCTGGGTAAAGGTCTTTCCACATTCCATGCATTTATAGGGTCTCTCCCCAGTGTGGATCCTTTTGTGACGATTAAGATTACTTTTCCTGCTGAAACTCATTCCACACTGCATGCAGAGGCTCCTCTTTCTGCTCAGACTGGAATCCACCAAAGATTTTACAGAGGTATGTGGTTTGCGTTTCCAATACTGTTTCTTTGGTGAAGCAGGAGCGAAGGAGTTGTTCTCCATAGTATCTACAGGCATGCAGTTTTTCTTTAGTCTGGTTTCCACCATAGTTATGTAATTCAAATTCATGTTTTCTTTTTTCCTATATTTTCCTTTTCTCATTTCTTTCTGATCTTGCTGGGATAGGAAGCCACAAACACCAAGAGAAGTAGATGACCTATCCCCTCCATCTTCTGGCTGTTTTCTATTTAGCCTTTTGGTGTCTCTCTGATGCCCAAGGGTTAGTACTTTTAATTCATTCTTCTCTACTTGAAGTAGATTTAACCTTGCCTGCTTGCCGTTCTCATTCACAGAAACATCATCTGCATGGAAAAAAAGAGAATTAATATTCTGATGAGAATTTAGAAGGCTGAAGGAGAGGTGTCTCCCCCCCCCCCCCCGCCCCACAACATGTCAATCTGCGTTCCTGGTTTAGTAGAATCCACTTGTCCAGCCAGGATGTGATATCTGCAAATTGTTATCCAGGAGTTTCTTGGTTGTATAGAAAGAATGTTTTCAGCTAAAAAACTGGTTAAAGCTTTGGTGTTGATCAGTCAATCTATTCAATCACTTCCATGGAGTATCTAGGACATTTCTTAATTCTATGGTGAATACTTCTGCCAGGGCCTTTTAGAGAGATGAACATCCTGGTCTTACCCAAGGCAGCCATATTCCCAGCAATCTCCTGCATGACTTCTCTGCACAAGGCCTTCTGGCCAGAATCTAGCAGCCTCCATTCCTCATCTGTGAAGTCCACAGTCACCCCCATAAATGAATCAGAGCTCTAGAAAGAGAAAAAAGCAGACAATCCCAGGAAACAGTTGAAAGTTCTCTCTCTTAGTGCACACAACAGAAACACACAGCTGCAAGAGACCAAATGGACATTTTCTTTCAGGACAGATTTATGGCATCCTGTCCACATAGTCCTTTGGGCTAGGAAGCTGCAGCTGCACAAATCACGGCTTCCAGGTTGTAGAATGCAACACAGCTAACCATGGAAAGCTTCCCACTCGCCTGGGGTAACTCAGTAAGTAGGTTTATAGCAGAAAATCCGCTAGATGTACTTGCACCCCTGACCAAATTCCTGAGAAAACAGGATAGAGCCACTAGGAACTTCTTTCCTAGCCTATTTCAAAATATTGGTAATGTCCTAGAAATCCCAAGTCACTTGAACAACAGTTTTATTGTTACAGCCACTTAGTGTTGACTTATATGTGTTATATTTTTCTTGGTCTACTTACAGACACATTACAAGGAAGACGGGTGGCATAAATATTTAATAAAATAAAGACTTCTCAGGTGTGTTTAATCTTTTGTTTCAATTCATAGATTTCATTTCTAACTGTTTTAAATACTCTTCTTAATAGTATTAAGAAATATTAAACTCTTTCTACAATTAAATTACATTTCTAACTCAAAGTTCCATGCCTGTGAATTGTCTCCTGTTTGCATCTCCAGAACAATCTTGAAAGCCAAATGTGGGTGGACACTGTGTTCAAGTACACATAGACTCAGTTTTCGGTATTAAACACAGCTACTGAATGGATGGAGCTGGAACGCTACTATTCTCAGAAGAAACTTGCACTTACCTGGCAAGGTGGCCAGAGTTGGGTCCTCCTGAAAAACAGCTCCTGAATAGAGCTGGATCGATCTCCTCTGCCCCGGAGCTCTGCTGAAATCTCCTCTGTGAACGGCTCCTGCATTTGAAGAACAGCCTGATTTATAATCCATTTTCAGAGGATAGTTTGCATTCCTTACATTTTGCTTTCCTACTTGTATTTCCCCAACCCAATTCAGAGACAGTTCAGGGACTCTGCATGTGACTTATATTTCTGGATAAATGGGAGTTAAAACAGCAGGCTGTGTTTTCATGTACATAAACTATAAGGGTGTGTTAATTAGTTTGTTTCTGTTACTATTTTGGCATTATAGGGCTTCTTAAATGTGGCTCTGTATCAGAGGCCATTCACATAATCCAGTTGCTTCCCCTTATCTAGATTCAGGTGACAGCAGATCACAAAGTAAACACTGATTATTATGAAAGATGTGGATAATATCAAAGGATACAGAGCTGTAAAGGAAGAGAAAGGTTATTTTAGGAAACATAAGCATTTATTTCAAGAAGAAATCAATTCTTCAAAGGTGAGGAATTCCAGAAAAGGCTGCAGAGTCATATTTTTAATCCCTTTGCCTTCTTGATCACCCCCCCCCCCCAAATGGACGAAGCCCCGCACCCTCCTCACCTGCCCCTTTCCCGGCTCTTCCCGCTGGGCTTGGCTGAGGAGGAAGCCTTCGGCCAGGGCCACCGCCTGCGAACAGCTCTCGGCTCCGCACTCCCTCACCCAGCTCGCCATCTCCGCGGGCAGCAGGGCCAGCAGCTGCTCCAGCACCACCAGGTCCAGCATCTCCCCTTTGCT